ATAGTTTTCAACTCTCTTTCCCTAACATTTGCTGTTTTGAACAAGCTGTTCTTTGTTTCTTTTCCTCCTTGCTAATTGAGAAGTATGAAGGAGATATGTTCTTTAAGTCCTTACATATAAGCAATTTCTTTCTTTCATCAGGATAGGTAAATATTCTGGGATGGATAAAGGATTCTTGGATTATTATCCTTTTTCTTCTCAGTGGTGTGTGAAATCATACATACGCCTCCCCACTCCCAGTGTTACAAATAAGAAGTCTGATGCTAGTCTAATAACTTTACCTTTTTGCAAGTACCTTTGCTTCTTTGTTTGCTTTGATTTTGGCCTGGTATTTTGTAAGATTTTCACTTTATGTTTGAAGATTAGGATTTTCTCAGGCTGTGCCTGAGTATGGGAATTTTTTTTAAAGTCCTCTCACTTGCAACAAATTGGCTAGGACCTTCAAATTATGAGGTTCAGATATTTTTTGAGCTCAGGAAAATTTCTTCTATTTTGTCGAATATGTCTCTTGTCCTGTACTGTCTTTTCCCCTTCTATTACAACTTATATATTGGGTCTCCTTCATGATTTTTCTTGGATTTTTTGCTCTGTTTGAAAATTTGAAAATTACTTTGGGACATTTCTTATGCTTGACCTTCTAGATAACCAATTTGAGTCTCAACAATAACCTTTTCAATTCCTCTACTGAAATTTTTAATCTTAAAATAAATATTTTTGTTGTTAATTTGCTTAATTAAGAATGTCTTATTTATTTATTTATTTATTTATTTATTTATTTATTTATTTTTGGCTGTGTTGGGTCTTCGCTGCTGCGTGCGGGCTTTTCTCTAGTTGCGGTGAGCAGGGGCCAGTCTTCGTTGTGGTGTGCGGGCTTCTCATGGCGGTGGCTTCTCTTGTTGCGGAGCATGGGCTCTAGGCGCGTGGGCTTCAGTAGTTGTGGCTTGCGGGCTCTAGAGCGCAGGCTCAGTAGTTGTGGTGCACCGTCTTAGCTGCTCCGCGGCATGTGGGATCTTCCCGGACCAGGGCTCGAACCTGTGTCACCTGCGTTGGCAGGCGGATTCGCAACCACTGCACCACCAAGAAAGCCCTAAGAACGTCTTTTTAAAGCCACACTTGAACATCTTTATTTGGTTTCTTTGGGTTTCTTTTGTTATTCAAGTTGTCATCTATTTGTTCTGCTTTTTTGCAAAGCTCTCTGAGACGTGCTATTTTTCTGTTCATTAGGTCCTAGTTCAGTTCCCAGGTGATGATTTATGATGGTAAACACAGCAGGCTCTGGTCCCGTAGGTCCCCAGTTACTGTAGCAGGCAGTCTGTGATTCCAGGGAAAAATCAGGAGCAAGACCCTCTGCTCCTGTCCTCCCTGCTTTCCTTTAGCTTTCTCCCCTCAGAGATGAAGAGGATTCCACTGCCTTCATTCCAAAAATCCACCATTTTCTAAAGGCCCAACACTCCCCCTATCTACTACATTCAGAATCTAACCATGACCACTCTCCCTCCACCAAAAATCCCCAAAGCAACCACCTGCCCCAAGCTCTCACTTATGGCAGCTCTCTCTGGACTCCTCACCTGCACCAGCGCTTTGCAGGAGTACCAAGCAAACATCAGACCTCACTCACACCTCCCTACTCCTAGTCGCCAACCCAGCCAACTAAAGTAGATGGGTTTCAGTGGAGTGGGTAAGGGAGGAGTCTTTCAATCCACCATCTATACAGAATTCATATAAACTATTTTTGAAATTTAATAAATAAAACCCTCCATGAGAAATAAAGCTTTATCCAATCCTTAGGGGGGAAAAAATAAAGTCATTTCTACATTATTAACATAGCAATATAATATTATTAACATTGTAGAGCTCAAATACCTTTCTCTAGTTCCACTGGGAAAAGTTCCAGCTTTTCTACACGCTTTTCAAGTTCATACTCGGCTGAAGCAGCCACAGGGTCAACTTCATCATTTCTCCTATCATAGTCTTCATTGGAGTATGTGCTGAAGACCTGTAGTAAGATATCAACAAAAAGATGAAAATCTAGAAAAGACAGTTTTCTTGATTAAAAAAAAATCTGCTACATATCCAAAACTACGTAAGTTAAAAATTTTGTACGAAGAATTTCTTCTGAACAACTGTTTTGTCATAAAATCAACTGAGATGTTAAGAAAAGGAAAACTGAATCAGAATAAAAATAACTTACTAATTTAAAAAATGTACCACTTTTAATAATTTGAGAGACAACATTAGCCACAGAATACATTATATGGTTAGCAACATTTATCACTTTTTATAGAATCAGAGTATACCATATCAGCTGCAATAAAATTAAGGTAAAGCATCTTCAGGCTTTATTTACCAAAGCAAATACCCACAGTGAACCCATTTCATGCTATGACCTATACAAGCCCTGATGTTGCAGTGTGCTGGTTTTATTAGAATTATATTTCAAACACAGAATCATTGAAACTGACTTCTATTCTGTACTGGGCTGTGTTAAGCTCTCATTTGTCATCTCTCATTTTACTTCCATGTAGATATAAATTAAATCCTCATTGAACCTTTTAATGAAATGACTATCAAAATATTGCTCAAGAGCTGCAGAACAACCAGGATATTGGTAGCTCTTTCTTTCTGACCTAAGTCATTCAAAAGACTACTAAATGTGGTGTTCAGATGTAGCTGTAAGAAAATTATTGTCCTTCTTTCTGCTGAAATATTTGTTTTATTTGAAAAGTAACTGGAAATAGGTATACAATCCCTCACTTAATACACTGAAGAATATTTTTTAAAAAGAAATGTATAATTCATCAAGCCTAACTAATTTGCATGATAAAAACTGACATTTTCAATTAAATTCAACAATTATGAAGTATCTAGACTGTGCCTGACAAAACTTTGTCATGTCCTCCCAAATCTAGGAGTGAGTAGTTTTTTAAAAAATATACATTAAAAGGTGATAATAAAAACATCAATAGAAAGCAGGACAGAAGGTCAGAGATGAAAGAAATTAAGTCTATTGCTTATAAAGCTGGCCCTGCTAGTCCAGATGTGCTTTACATTCATATGATTGGAAAACTGGCAACTCTTACATGCTGTATATGGTAACCTATAAACCAGAAATATATACTGCGTACAAAGAAACAGATGTAGTGTGGTTCCTAATTCTACATACTTCTCAAAATCGTGTCATTTATAGGTTTTGTACCAGAATGCATAACTGTTTTTCTTCCTGACTTTCAACATGTTTTCATAGCCTTGTACCATTCACTTGGTCTCTACCGCATTTCTCCAACACAATAAACATTTCTGCATCAAAATGAACACTTCTAAACTATGGGGTTTGTACCTTTTAAGTTAATCTTTTCATAAAATATGCTTCCTATGCCCCTTCCATAGAACCTTCCAATATTTTTCTTAAATTGTCAGGTTTATGACTTTCTCTTAGACAGCCTGTTTGATCTTTCACTTCCCTTATATGTTTTGGTAATCACTTATTTATTCATTCATCAAAAATTTACAAAGACTCAACTCTATGCCAGACACTGTGCTAGACACTGAAGAAGGTACAGTTTCAAGTAGCTCACAGCTCAGTAGGGACATAGAAGTCAAAATAAACAACTAAAATATATGTGATAACTGATGTAACAAAGGAATATACCAAGTAATTTTTTTATTGTCATGAATTTCATGGAGGGGAAAATATTTGAGTTGAATCCTAAATAATCAAAGATTCACATATTCAAATGTAGAAGAGGTGGAGTGTATATTTCAAATATAAGACACTAGAAAAAAATCTATATCTGTATCTTTTGGAAAACATCGACAGTTGAGTGGACCACATTGCAGCATGCCTAGGGGAGCAAACTTTAACAACACACAAAAAAAGTTACTTGAATCTGGAACGTACATGTCCTGGAAACTATTGGCAGAGATGATCAGAAATTATTCCATTGATGTTTGCCCCTTGTCTACTTCTGCTAATAGGTTCAAGTATATGATTGCTAAACAAGGATTCAAACGATATTCATACGGTAACATAACTCAGTTTTACTACCAGCTTAATGTATGAATAAAAAAATGTGTGTATACATACACATGTATATATGTGTATATGTGTTTGTGTGTATACACACACATCTGCTATCAAATGTCCTTCTCCAATCAGTCTGGTTTATAAAGTCCATTTGGAGATAACCAGAAATTAAATAAAACAAACAGAAAACTAACTATATGACTACATATTGGAAAACAGTACTTTAAATAATGTTTGAGGCATGTAGCAATCAGATGACCATATCACCATTTAATTCTGTAGAGAAGAAATAATGTAATATACTTTTCATCTTCAGCTTGTTCATAGTCTGGTAAATTATGTGGGCACATAGGTAAAACCTATAAATACAGGAAACAGAAAAGCCAGAATTCATTATTTGCAAATTAAGCTTTTGTTTACCTGGAGAATCCAAGAGGTTAAACAGAAAAACTGTTAGAATGAACAAGAGTTCAGTGAAAACAGAATTTCAAAACTACCAAAAAAGCCCATAATAGCTTTAGAAAATATAACAGAAAAGATCAGAAATTATAAAATATTCAAGAATTACTGATTATAAATGTGCAAGGATATCCTTTATTTATAAAACTTAACTGAAAAATTCAAAAAGCCTTGAATAAGTGTAATGCCATACTATGTTATTGAATTAAAATCCTTAATATTGTAAAAACCTCTATGATCCTAAATGACTGTAAACGTCTCTTTGCCCCAATTTAATATATGAATTCAGGGCAATCAAAATTAAAATCCCACTAACATTTTTCATGGAAACTAACAAGCTGCTTGCAAACAAGGAATAAGGATGGAAATAGACCCTATCAGATACCAAAACATACAATAAAACTTCGTTTATTAAGGCAGTGCAGTTTGCCCCAAGATAGATCTATTTTTGTACCCTATTCTGTTTCACTCCTCTACTTTTCTATTCAA